TAACACGCTCATTTGATACGAAAACAACGCCGGTTTCATCTTCTCAAATTTCACCATCATAATAAACAATAGCTGAAAGTCGCGCCATTCTTTGAGTTTAAAAGTACGACAATATTATATCTGCAAAAAAAATAACTGAAACAAGCCTGATTAAATAAATTATATATGAACAAAAATATAACACAATAAATTTTTACACACAACGTAAATAATTTAAATAATATAATTTTATATTATTACCTGCACCGTAAAACTATTTCGACGTATACTTTCGCTTTTCAATTTTACAAACATAAAAATTAATTGAAAATAATTAGTATAATATTTTTTCAAATAATCATAATAAATAATAAGTGTGTAATAAAAAAAATTTGTAACAAAATTACCTTATAACGAAAAATCGCAAGAACTTCTAAACTAAATATGAGAAGATTGCCAAAATTATTGACTCGTTGACAGAATTATTGTATTAATTTATAAGTTGAGATGAGAGATGTGAGGAACATAACCGGGGGAGAAGGGTATATATAGCCATACAAGGCGTGGTACCTGCACCGCGATATATGTAATTATGGTATAGCGCGGATCAGAGTCCGCGCTAAATATAATTGTCTAGATAGACAAATATAACGTGGTCCAGGGGGCGCGCTATACCCCACGTGGCGCCAAATCAGCGTATAGCGCGGGTCAAGGGGCGCGCTTTATTGCTACGGGTGTTAGATCGAAAAATATAATCTGACCGGTGTTAGATCGGTAAATATATCGGTCACCGATGATATTTCGAGAAAAATGCCGATTATCTTATTTATATTCTTCAATTAATTTATTTATTCATTTTTCAAAAACCTACATATTTTTAAAAAATGCGTTGCTTTACCTTTTCCTCCCTGATTATTTTTTTATTTTTTAATAATTTTGGTTTTATGGCATTTTTTATGTCTTTATAACATATTTTCTATCTATTGGTACGTTTTCAATTTTTTTTGTTAATTGTTTGTCCCTTCTTTTGTTTAATTTCTATTGGGTTAGATCTAACATCGCTTCGACTAATTAAGATGACACTTATATATTATCCTACAGATCTTTTCTCTGCTTTGGATCATCGGATTATATTTGAATATGCGGTTTGTGTTTGGAGATAATTTTCTAACGACGTTCAACTTTGATTTGCAATTGTTGTTGATATTTTAGTAATTTGATCTCATATTATGATTTGTTTGTCAATACATTCAAATCTATTCGGACGTATAGTTTGCCTTTGTTGGGTATAACAAGTACTATTCTTTGTGCTTGTTTCAAGTTTATTTTTAGATTTTTCTTTCTTTCTTTGACTTTCTAGAATTTATCGTTGACCTTGTTGTTTGTAGTGCTAATATATGCTTATTTTAGAATATTGTTAAAGTATGTTCTTAGGAAAGCTGTAAGTTGGAGTGCTTTCAATTTTGGCAGATCTATTTCAGAAAATAAAAATTGACTCTTTATTTTAGGCAGCTTCATCTAGTTTTTTTTTGTTAGGAAAGAGCCAATTTATTACTGTATAAGAATCTTTACCAAATCTTAACTTTAGGGAGTCGGTGTCTTATTTTCTTAAAATAATGCATTGGGTTGGTACTGAAAATGGCTGAAATTAGAATTTTCTAGGGTAAAGCAAGGTAAACCCAAGATTAGAAATGTCCCAATTGCAGTGACCCCTGAAGGTTTTTGGTGTTGTCCACCTCTTGTTCTGTTCCAAAAGAGACTCAAATCACAAAAACCTCTAAACAAAACTTTCTTCCTTGCCAACATTCGAGATTACTGTTCATAAGAATCAAATTCCAATAAGAATAAGCCAATGACCACCCTGATAGGGTCAGTAGTTACCTATGATTATCAAAGAACTTCTACTCTTATTAATCATGGTATTAGTGCACCGATTATTTCGGAGAGGATACCGAGGCCTAAGGTTTGACATATGCCTCGAAATATGACAATTGGATATGGTGAACGGGAAACCAGTGATATGATGGTGATTCTACTTCGGAAGATTTTTGTGTGAAATTGAGCGTCCACAAGAAAGTTCTACTTCTCGAACAAGATTCTGGTTAGTCTTGCCTCGAAATTGATGATTGTGAGAATGTAGAAAGTTATGTCGAAACTGTGGGATTGATGTACTGCAAAGAATAGAAACCCTCTACCCCTTCTATGTGCCCCTTTTTATGCCCTACTAATAATCTTTTTACATGTCATTTTTATTTTTATGCAACACTCATACAAATTTCTAAAATTAATTACTTTCCTATTTTACTTCATCTTCTACCGTCTATAAAGAAGGCTTCAACGCTCCCAAAGCTTTAAATCTCTCCTACTCCAAAGGTGTTGAATCACAGTCATAAACCCAAACCTCTAATCCTTTATGAATATGTGCTATTCAGCGTCCCAATGTCGCAAGATATGGGATTCGACCAAATTTAAAGTCAATAGCAGCCTTGAATTGTCGCCCTGTCCACTCTTGAAAAGCCTCTTCTTTATACACCATGGATCATTGCCAAGTTTCTTAGATATCATTCGTTTCCTGCTACAAAGCATCGTTGTTCTTCTCCATACACATCATATTATATGCATCCAAGTTTCTTAGATATCGATCATCGATTTCTTTGTAATTAATCACGTGTTCTTCCTTATCAGTTTTAGAAGTTCCAGTGGACATATTATCACCAGAAAGAGACAACTCTAACGAACTTCCAAGGGTGCTTTTGGTTCACAGAATGTAAGATCACCAATGAGAATAAAATATTATTAGGGAATAGGATTACTGGTAATGTTGTATTTTGTGTTTGGTTGGTTTAGTATGAATGTAAGATTACCATGTTTGGTTAAAATAATAAAAGATTATTGGGATGTATATTTTACCAAATTATTTTTTATTATATATTTGTTTTTTTAACAAGTTAAATTCTACTATAATATTACTATAATTAATTTATATATTTTCTTTAAAAAATTTAAATTCATAAAATTTATGGAATTTTTTTTACAAAATTGAAAAGATAAATAGGTTTAATGAAAGAGTAAAATTTTATTTTAACCCCTGAACTTCATATAAAATTCTAATTATATATATTTTTGTAAATCTAAAATAGTTTAAGGATAAATTTGTAATTAAACCTTCGTAGAATTTTTATTATTCACAACATAAGAAGGATATTTTTGAGAAAAAAATTAAGGGCATTTTAGTCCAAAACGCCGGTAATCAAACAATACCTAAGAGAATGAAGGTAATGACATTCCCAATAATATACCCAAAAAATTCATTGTTGGTAATAAAAGATTACTGGGGGTTGAAAATGTTGGTCAACCAAACAGGGGAATGAGATTTCATTCCCCCGATAATCTCATATTACCTTAACCAAACACCCCAAATGTCACCGCCCATTCCTATGAAATCAAAAGCCACAAGTTGGACATCCTCCATTTGTTAAGACACTAGATAGGGCTCCTTCTCAAACGTAACTTTGCTAGAAAAATGAAAGATTATTTGTGAAGTTAAATAGAAAATAATTAATTTTAGAAATTTATGAGTGTTGCTATATAAAAAAAAGACATGTAAAAAGATTACTGGTGGGGCATAAATAAGAGCACGTAGAGGGGGCAGAGGATTTATGTTCTACTACAAAGAAATGAAACTATGAGTAATGAAACAAAGTGTTTCACGCGTGTTCCGTATTCTCAATATAATTTGCACATTCATGCTACATCCTAAGGATGTAAAATCAGGTAATCGATCCGGTTTCAGTCAGTTCTTGTCAGGTAAAGTAAATATCGTGTCAGGTTAATTTGATGGTTCAATTCGGATTAGGTCAGATCCAGGTCAAATAAGTTCGAATCATTTTCTAGTTGATTTTACCATGAGATTCAGTTCGGGTCGATCATGTTAATTTCAATTCGAATCGATGCCATTTAAAATCAAAACAGTTCAGGTTCAAATCAGTTAAATTCCATGTTAATTCATGTTCATATAGACTTCAGGTCGAATTTCGTTCAAATCAAGTCACATCATTGATAGATAAAATTTAGTTCGATCTTATCGGGTACTGATTGACTTCAAGTCAGGTAATTTTATTTTTTATTTTTCATGAATGATGAATAGTAATTTTTAATTGTATATGATATGGAGTAAATTACAAAAAATGTAAATAATTGTGAGTCAATTTTAATTAAAATATAATTTTAAGGACAAAATTAAACAAACAATAAATTACAAACAAAAATTTAAATAAATTAAACAACACACATGTATGCGGGACTAAATCGAAATATAAATAAGTATGGGTCAATTTCATATACAAAAATAATTTTAAGGACAAAATTGAAGTAAATTACAAAAATATAAATAAGTATGTGTTAATTTCATATACAAATATAATTTTAAAGACTAAATTGCATAAATTAATATTTAACTAAATTGCACAACACGTAGGGACCAAATTCAAATAATTGTAAAATATGAAACTAAAATTAATATAAAAATAGATTGAAATGCATTCATTTTAAAATTGAGGAAACAATTAAAACAATTTTAATATATATATATATATAATACATAAAACTATATACATAATACTTTTAAGTATATATTATACTTATAATATATACATTATACTTGTAACTATAAGTGTGTGTGTATATATATATATATATATATATATATATAAGTATACATTATACATTATGGTATATATTATACATTATACATAAGTATATGTATAATATATATATAAGTATACATTATATTTATGTATATGTATACTTATATATATAATTACACACACATATATATATATGTATATAAAAGATCTATATAAGTATGTATAATATATATAAATATATATAAGTAATATAAGTATATATGTATGATGTATGTACACAAATATATAAATATATACAAGTATATATGAATGGAAAACAAGAAAAGTCGAAAATCAATATCTTGGAGCTTTATTGAAAACTAAAGTCTGACCCTATGCAAGAGGCTAACCTGCCGGTCACAGAGGTGACCCAGGTGGGAGAAACTATGACAGCAGCAGGCAATAGAAATAAACGGGCTCGTCAGTCAGCAAGAGAAGAAGCGACCGAGGAGAGTACATGGACTAGAACTTGGAGAGACACAGTGGCAGACTCACCTATCTTTATCGGAATGTTTCATAGTTCTGCAAGAATTGAAGAAGAAAACTTCGAATCGGATGATGAAGAGGAGATCGAGGATGATGGTATACCTACAATAAAGGTTCCCCCAGAGGAAAAAGGAATCAGAAAACCATGGCGTAAAGCTCTGATCATCAAAGTCTTGGGAAAGAACATTGCCTAAAAAATCTTAGTCAGTAGAATTACATCCATGTGGAAACTTGAGAGCGAATTCAGCTGCATTGATTTGGGAAATGGGTTCTATGCAGTTAAATTCCAGAACATGATTGATAGAGTAAAAGTCTTGACTGAAGGACCATGGAAAATCATGGATCACTACCTAACAGTTCAAAAATGGAAACCAAATTTTCTTGCAGAAAATGAAAACATACCTTCGACAGTAGTTTGGGTCCATGTCCCGGGACTCCCCATAGAATATTTTGACGAAGGCATTCACGTCAACATTAGAAAACTCGTGGGTACCCCTCTAAAAGTAGACTATCAAATAAAATGGATGACACGAGGAAAATTTGCAAGAATTTGCGTGGAAGTAGACTTAAACAAACCATTACTTTCTCAAATAAGAATAAGAAACACGATCTTTAACATCGAGTATGAGAGACTACACTTAATATGTTTCATATGCGGAATAGTGGGTCATAAATCGGATGCCTGTTCTATCAAACACTTCGAAAACCCCAAAACAAAAAAGGAAAAAGTTATACAACAGGCCTTAGAGCCAAAAGAAGCCCAAGAAGAAGAATTACACAAAGAACAAGAGCAAGAAGAAAAAAAACAGTAAAGAAGAGAGATATAGACCTTGGATGATGGTCCAAAGGCGCCAAAGAGGAACACAACACGCGGAAGTAACAGGAATGAATACAACATTAATCGATCAGACTGGAAAGGAAATCGCTTTCAAGCGTTAGGAGAAAGAGACGATAACGAAAATATCAAGGGGAGGAAAAAATGGAAAATGACAAGGGAATAGACAAAGAACAACTCCTTAACAATAATCAACCCAGTACAGAAGAAAATTCTCAATATAGCAAAGTAGTAGTGTATAAAGACAAAGGGAAAAAGAAAATCTCAGATAACAAAAAATATGGGAAGCAAGGATTCATCTCAGGGGAGCAAACAAAAGCTGTAACAATACAGAAAGTAAGTCCAGGAAAAAACAGAATCGCTGCAAGAGGGGACGAACATACCAACATGAAAGTCGCTGGAACAAATTACAGAAATAAAGCTACAAATAATCAAGAAAGCAGCAGGATAATTAGTCACGAAGACAACCAGTTAATGGAGGGAATAAGCTTTGAAACATGAAGTCACGCGATAAAGGAAAATGAAGGAAAACCGAATCAACAAAATAGGAAGACACCAAGTGTTGAAAAAAATGATATGACTAGTCAAATGATAACAGATGGAGAGGAGCCTGATCTACAGGACATAACACTTATAAAATGTTAATTCTATGAAGATGATAAGTTGGAATTGCAGGGGTGTGGGTAACCAAGATTTTATAAGAAACTGCAAAGCAATTATCCGGCAAAAGAAACCAGCTATTATTAGTCTACTGGAAACAAAAGCAACAATAGGGATTGGGAAAATGCTACAAAAAAATTATGTTTTGACAACAGCTTCGAAGTGTCGGCTAGTGGTTTACGTGGAGGGATCATCATTCTTTGGAACTCGAATCTTGTAGACATGCTATAACACTGAGCAGGCTATTCATTGCGAGTTAAAGGAGGAGGACAAAATATGGTTAACGTCGTTTGTTTATGTGCAACCCCACACAATCAAAAAAGAAGAATTTTGGAATGATTTGGGTAGTTATTCGGATACCATTAATAAACCGTGGATCATCATGGGAGATTTTAATGACATTGCTTCTTTAGACGACAGGGAAGGTAGTAATTCCGACTGCATTGACCGGATCATTGAATTTTGGGATCGTTGGGACAGATGCAATCTTTTGTAATTGGGATAGGCGGACAATAGATTCACCTGGGTGAGAAGACACAAATGACAGATTATTCTGCAAGAAAGGTTAGATAGAGCGTTAAATAACACAGATATCTTTGATCTTTTCCCAAACATTCAAACGTCTACACTCCCCAGACATTATTCAGATCATCACCCAATTATGGTTAACACAAGTCTGACTCATATTATGGAGAAGGATAAAATACCTTTTAGATTCGAGGTTTTGTGGCTAACTCACCCTGATTTTGACATTATTTTCAACGCAACTTGGAACAGGAAAAAACAATCTATTGTAGAGGCTATTGAAGAAACAGGAAAGGAGATTAAAATCTTGAAAGTAACAGCTTTTGAAGACATCTTCAAATAGAAGCGATCGTTGCGTAGCCGTTTAAAAGGTATTCAGAGATCCCCGAATTATATTCGTTCAAAAAGACTACAGGATTTAGAAAAGAGTCTCAATGATGAATATCAAACGATCTTAAACCATGAAAGATTTTATGGCTTTAAAAATCTAGATTAGAGTGGGTTTTGAAAGGGGAACGTAATACAAAACTCTTCCACATTACTACTAAGATTAGACGGAAACAGAACAAAATTGTTGGGTTATTCATAAAAGACAATTGGGTCACTGATAAATAGAGTCTCGTCAGGAATATCGTAAACTTTTTCAGAAATCTTTTCTCTAGAAAAGTAATAGGTGATCTCACTGAAAGTTATGACAAATTCAAACCCCGGCTTAAGGACGAGGAAAAAGATGCCCTGGTTAAGGATGTAACGAGTGAAGAAATCAAATCCGCTGTTTTTTCAAGGGTTTGAAATCCCCAGGTCCGGATGGAATCCAACCTATTTTTTACAAAACAAACTGGGACACGGTTACGGAAACATTGCTGCAATTTGTGAAAACAACCATGTCTACTGGTGAAATCGACACAAGGATTCTGAAAGTGTACTTGGTGCTTATTCCTAAAACTGAAGTGGCGGACAGACTAACATTATTTCGTCCTATAAGTCTGTTCAATACTTCTTATAAAATCTTGGCTAAAACTCTTGTACACCGGTTGAGACCTATATTACAAAGAGTGATAAGGCCGTATCAAAATAGTTTTCTTACTGGTAGAACCACTACAGATAACATATTGGTGGTACAGGAAGCGGTTCATACCATCATGCAACTTAAAGGAAGGAAAAGTGTAGCAATCATGAAAATAAACCTTTTGAAAGCCTACGATAAAGTTAATTGGAACTTCCTATATAAAACATTACAGGATTTCAATCTTCCCGAAGAAACAATCTCCATCATCGTGTTCTGTGTCAGATTCAGCAGTATTGATCCGTTATGGAACGGAGAAACGACCGAAAGCTTCAACCCAAAATAATGCCTTAGACAGGGAGACCCTTTATCCCCCATATCTCTTTATTCTTGTTATGGAACGACTGTCACACATGATTTTAGAAGAAGTGGACAAGGGAAAATGAAAAACTTTTAAAATGACAAGAAATGGAGCTAACATAAGCCATCTTTTCTTTGCAGATGATCTTCTACTATTTTTTGAGGCCAAGGCGGACTAAGTGATCGAGGTTAGAAAATACATGACAAAATTCAGCAATGCCTTGGGTTTAGAAATGAAACTCCAGAAATCAAAAATTTTCCTATCGCCAAATATGAACATCGAGGCGGCAGATTACTTGAGCCAACTTAGCGGGGTTCCCCAAACAAATAACTTGGGAACTTATTTGGGAGTCCCTATCATTCACAAAAGAGTAAAACGGAAACTTACGCACCAATGCTTGAAAAGGTTATGAAGAAGCTGTCGGGTTGAAAGGGGAAAGTACTTTCATTGGCAGGAAGAAAAACACTCATCTAGGAAGTTTCGGCAGCAATTCTGGTCCACATTATGCAGACAGTCTTATTACCAAATGGGACGAACAATAAATTAGATAGCCTCAACCGAAATTTTCTATGGGGAGGTGGGATAGAATATTCGCATAACCATCTGGTAAGCTGAGATATTGTTTCCAAGCCAAAGGATTCCGGGGGACTCGGATTACGTAAAGCATGTGACATGAACCTCACCCTCATGGCAAAAAATGCATAGCGGTTGTTTAGAAAACAAGACGCGATTTGGTGTAAAGTGTTTAAGGAGAAATACTTGAAACAAAATAACTTCATGAAAGTTGGAAACAGTGCCAAGAGTTCAAATACTTGGAGAGGCATCCTTAAGACACGAGAAATAGAGAAATGATGCAAACATCACATTAGATCAGGATATCAAACTAGACTGTGGCATGATTGGTGGGTAGGAAAATCAACTCTCATTAAAGACTATCCAGAGAGAGAAAACGAGGAAAATATTATTGTGGCTCAAATCATAACAGAAGATAAAACATGGGATATACAGGAATTACATAATGTAATGTCGAGAGAAACTATCGACCAAATCAAGAGTATACCGATTCAAATGACAAGAGATAGGGGTGAGCAAGACAATTAGTTGGGGATTCTCTAAGGATGGTAGTTTTACAGTGAAATTTGATTTCAAAGACATTATGAATAGTATACCGAGGGAACAACAGAACCAAAAACTCGACTGGATCTGGAAGATGGAGACCACAGAACAAAATCGAGTATTCATTTGGCTTTGCTATCTAAACAGACTGAATACAAATGATATAATAATGGAGAAGAACATGACATAGAACTCAGACTGCATAAGTTGCCAAGGCGAGACGGAATCGATAGAACATGTATTAAGGAGATGCATTATGGCAAAAGCAGTATGGGATGGAATCGGAGCAAATCAATATGATAATCAATTTGATAACAGAGATTTTAAAGATTGTCTCCAAAACAATTGTAGATCCAGAAAGACTGGACAACATGACATTCCATGGGGATCTTTATTTTCAACAACATTTTGGGATTATGGAAAGGCAGGAATGAATTAGTCTTCAACAAAAACAACAAGAACCCAAACCAAATTATTCATTACAACATAAACCTCGCAAGAAATATCAAAACAGCAAAAGAGAACTCACGGGAGAGAATCACCAAGGAGCCAAGATGGGTCAAATGGAAGAGGCCATCTCGGGACTGCTGGATTTTAAACTCGGATGGAGCCTGTAAAAAAAACACCAGTCAAGCGACAGCAGGAGGATTAATTAGAGATGAGAACGGGAATTGGATAAAAGGGTTTATGATAAACATAGGGAGAACTACCAGCGTAATGGCAAAACTGGGGGGGGGGATAGGGTCTAAATCTCACCAAAGAATCCGGAGTTAATAAAATCATTGTGGAAACTGATGTAAAATGGGTAATCGAAGCTCTTAACAAAAAGAGAGGGTGTATGATAGTCAAAAGGAAATGATTTACAGGGAATGTGAAGAAATAAGAAAAGAGGGTTGGATAGAGGATATTAGACATATATATGTCGAGAGGGTAATCGATGTGCTGATCGTCTCGTTAATATGATATTTGAGAAAGAGGGGAGTTCACATTCTAAAAAACTCAAAAGAAGAAATAATAAAGTTGTTAGAAAGTGATTTAGAAGGAGAATGTGTTAAAAAATGGTAAGTTATTATCCATAGCCACTTTATTTGTATCAAAAAAAATATACATGTATAAGTATATATAAGTATATATATATAATGTATGTAAGTATATACATAAGTGTATATATATTTATCATTAAACATAAGTGACTAAAATAAAATATTCTAAAATTAATATTTACATTTAATAATTGTGCACATTAAAAAAAGAAGAGAACATTAAAAAAAGAAGAGAACATTAAAAATAATTAAAATGTATACAATATTAAATTGCATTGAATTAAAAAATTCAAAAAAAAATTATAATTAGAGCATGACTGAAATGAATGAAATTAAAAATTAAATTAAAAAAATAAAAATCACTAATTATTAGAGTATTGTATCCCTAATTAACCCAAAAAATCTATTGGGCGCTTGTTCATACATATGCAAAATCAAAAATTTCCCTATTCCCCAAGAAAATCAATTTTCCCTATTCCAACTTCTAAATTCCCAAAAATAAATAAATCAATTTTCCATCTTCTAAATTTTGGCAAAAAATCAAATTTGTCAAAATTTGTAATTCCCTCTTCTAAATTCCTAAAAGATCAATTTTTTCCTCAAAAAATAATCTTTATTTTAAAAAGTTCTCCCGCCACACATGTGAATATATATAAGTATATTGTTTATTTTAAATTGATGCTTAAATTTTAAATTTTCAATCTCAAATAAATTAATCTTTTATATATATTTTAAAATTTTAAGTTAAATTATATTTAAATTATTAATTAATTAGTACACAAAATAAATTCACCTTATAAATATTTAAATTAATTTTATATAATCTAATAAAATCATGTTAAATAAAAAATATTTAATAAAATTAATTTAATGATTATATTAAGATTTATAATATAATAATTATAATTAATATATATAAAGTAAATTTATTAATTTAATTATATAACTAATAATTTGTTTTACCTTTTAAAGAGTAATCATATTAATTATCATAGTTTATTTATTTGTCAAAAAAATAAACATAAATAACAATTTGTTTTAACTTTTAAAAAGTAATCATATTAATTATCAAGGTTTATTATAAATTCAAAATCTCACAAGTTTATCAATTATAATTTATAAGTCAGATAAATATCAAATCAGTTTAATAACAAGTCGGATCATTTACATGTTGAGCAAATTACAAATCAGGTTTATAATAGGTCAGATTGATAACAGAACAGGTAATATCAGTTATTTACTGGGTTAATCTCGAGTTCGGGTTCATATCAGGTCGGACGCAGGTCGGATTCGGTTATCACGTTTTCAGGTTCAGGTCGTTCTCAGGTAGGGTGTAGGTCGTAAATTTTCAGGTCCAACTTGTGTTCAAGTTAACACCAGTTCGGACTTGAATCGGTTTCATATCACCGCCACCTCATGTCATAAACAATTTTGACTCAAGCCGATTTCAGTCAATTTTACTGATCGATTTCAATCAATTTTACATGTAAGTCAATTTTTTACATCCCTACTACAACCCTTCTATTTTTATGAGCTGAATCTTGTTATGTTGAGTACAACTATTATCATATCTCTTTTGAACTTAATAAATGTCAGTGAAAAGGCTTCTGTTTCAAGCTCCAATTGAAGGTATATCTGCACTTTGTGTCCAATTTGTTATTTTGAGACCCTGTATTTTTTTAATTGGATTTACTCTGCAGACTTCTTACAATATTATTTGTCAATAGTATTCTTTTGCTCTTATTAATATGCCTAAAATTTGGCAAGTGGGTTGTGTACTGGGGATTTCTAGCTTACCATATCCTATGATGTGGTTTGCTAATTTGTTTTGCTATGTAATATTTGTTGAAAATCCACTAGGACATTGATGGATATCTAAGAATTTGTTGTTAGAAAAATTGTGTTAATCAAAGAATAAAATAGAAAATAATAATAAAACAAATATGATTATAAAATGTCAAATGGATAGAACGAGTTTATTTTGTCTTAAAATTGTTATTCAAAAATAATAATCTGAGATAAAATCAACTCTGAGAAAATAAAACAAAAAAGTTAAACTTCTTAAAAGATAAGATAAAAATAAATAGAAGTAAGATACTCTTTTTTATTTTAATTTATCGATCGAAAACAATTGAGACTTGTTGCTACACAATTTCTTTAAGATGGATTTTCGGCCACACCTTTAGTGCTCGAGTTCATTGGTCGTCTGTCTTCTAGGATACAACAACTAGATGATCAGCTACAATAGCAAAACAGTAGAGATCACGAACTATCCTTACGTTCGACTATAAATGGAAAACTAGTGGAAGTCGAAACTTTTTCAAGCTAAGAGAAATTCTTGAAATCTGAGGTGAAAATTTATTAAAAACTCAAATTGTGAAACTTGTGTTTAACCTAGTAGGTTAACTCACTATTTATATGAGATTTTTAAAAAATATTTAATACAACTAGATATCTTTTAATATTCAACTTTAAACAGATAATAATATCTTTTAATTTAAAATATTCAAAAGATAAACTCATTTTATCATTCAAACTTAAATAGATATTATTTTAATTTGAAATATACAAAAGTATACAATTATATTTAATATTCAAAGTTAAAAAGATGAAAATACTTTTTTAAATTGACATATAAAAAGAGAAATTATCCTACTAATATTCAAATTAAAATTATCTTTTGATTTAAAATAGTCAAAAGGAATATGAAATTAATATATATATTAAATTCATCAACTAAATTCACCATTTTTCTAATAACCCCCACATGAATAAAATTGATGATTTTATCAAAAACATTTTGACTCTGTTTAGTGATAGTCTCTACGATTGATAGTTGAATAGGATATGTAGATTTCCTTCTTTGAACCTTCCATTGTGATAATATATTTATTTTACTAGCTAAACAGTAGACGCGATGTCCTTGAATTATTATGTCGTTTGTGTAAACAATGACATACTTCACACAACTACTCCTCTGACAAAAATTTATTTCTCATAGGTTTGTCCTTAAAGCCATGGACATCCACTTGGTTCTATAAGAGTTTGAAAGAACTATGTCCAATAGTCTCTTTGAAGTGGCCCCACTTCACTCTCACATAGGTGACTTATGTTGTTCGAGTCACTGCATCACACAATGGTAATTAAAAGCTTTGCTTAGCGTATACCAATTTGATCATTGTTTACATTATAGGAATGAACTTGGGATAAGAACTCCCACGGTGATTGTACACATGTTATGCAATTAGATTGTCCTTTTGAACCTATATCTTGGGATCTTCAATAAACAAGGTAGGGTTTTTCTTCACATAACACTATTAAATTTCAGGGCTTTAGTCTCAGTCCTTTAGATATTTTCTAAACTTGGTCTCGATTTAACCCTTTGTTTAACAAATACGCAATGTTATCCTTTGATCTTACAAAATCAACAGAGATAACTTAATTTGAGATCATTTGTCTATGGTATTATGTCAACGACGCATACGTCTCGATTTACCATTATACTTGAAATTCTATGCTAGTCATAGTATATGTGATGAGTGATTTATTTTGTTGTTATTTTTTCATTTAATACTCCTTTTGTCTTTTTGATATTGTTGATTTTGGTTGTTTTTATTTAATTATGTGCAAGGCTTTAATTTCTAGAAAATAATGTTTAAAGAGAAAATTTTGTAGTTTTTTTTATATTCTGGAATCAAGTCAGGATACATGGGCATGACTTGGGGATAATGATGTTCGATATGGCAGATTCTGGCAGTCCAGTTAGCAGTAGCTTCTAGAAGGCCATCTAGTCAGTATCATCTAGAAAGTCAGATGAGTGGAAATTTCTTATGATTTTAGATTGCATTTGAATTTGAATTTTGAATTATCACTTATTTTATGGTTTTATTATATGAATGTTTTAAGATTTTATCCTTAGTTGTTTTCATTATTTTTAGGATTTTAAAAAGGTATAAATATTCTCTCAGGGTAAAGCTTGAAACATACTTCGATTTATTTTTGTTCTTTGCTTTTTATTTTTATAAAAGTTTTCATCTTTTCATATTAGTTTTTTCTTTACGTACTTATTTTACTTTCTTTAAAAAATGCTAAGTATGATTTCTATCATACTTAGCTAATTTTCCAATAGGCCAATGGCTTAAGCGATGACCCAATTATGATCATGAGAATTAAAAAGCACATAATATCTTCGGATATCTTTCTCAATTTTCTACAAACCTGGATACACAATTGGGATTTTCTTTAAAAATTAAAACACTTTCATTTCAAAAGGTGCATTGGCTTGGATGTTCTTCTGATTTAAAGTTGGGAAGAAGGACCTGGCTTGTAGCATATTCGACTTTCTATGAACACACTTAGCGGCATATATACGTATTCAATTCTCATTGAGACAACATTACCTGAGTCGGACTTTTCCGGTACTTAAACTAGATTGGTGTTAGCGGTGATAGTCGTGGTTAGTCTGAATAAGGATTGAATTCCAAATATTGGCTTTGAATTGTTGGTTTACCAAAAAGAAAAGCAAGTTACAAGGGTTAGGCCTTGTAGACTGTAACCAACATATATCTGGAATAAAATCATCTTCGATGATCAATTAGAATTGAGGCAAAGTAATGTTTTACTAAATTAATATTTTTTTTCTCAAAAATTACCTTCATTTTACTTCTTTTACTTTATATCTCAAATCTTGTTCTCTTTAAAGTCTTGATTTATTTTATTTTATTTTATTCTTTTACTATCTCTCATCTAAAAATCCCCCATTTTCTTTATTTTCTTACCAAGTCAAAATCAGAACCTCTCAACATCAGTGATTTCT